TAATTACTTAACCGGATCGGCCAAAAAACTATTCGGCTAATTTTTGCCAGGTGTCCCAGAATTTATGATAACAGCTGTAACTTTTGAAAATTTTTAGGCCGCTCTGGTCCGCAGTTGTAAAATTTTGCTTCAGGCCGGGCCGGGCCGGGCTGCGGGACCCTCTACTTACAGGCTTTCCTGTTCAGAACTCATATTTCACATTTAACTCATTTAACTGCGGTTATTTCAGACATGCGTCTTTATAATATTTATCATATATGAATAAGCTAAGGGATCTTTAATCGTCAAATCCATTGTTTCAATATTCATTATATACTAATGCTTTTTAAATAAAATATTTATTCTTCGTTGATTATAATTATTGACACGGTTTCGACAAAGAATAATAAAAGCTTGGTTGTTTAGAATAATAACTCGCGTTATATGATTTTTTTTAAAACCAGTAATCAATTCTTGTTCATATTGAACTTTTTTCATTAATGCCTGCTCGTGTATTTATTATGAAAGCTTGTCCTATATTCTAAACCTCTTTTATATTTTTTTCAAGAACATACCAAACACACTGGACATAGTTTCAAGTGTAAAGTTAATTTTGGATGCGTTGACATTGTAGTATCGTCCAAAATACAATTGCAAAAATATCGTTATATATAATTATCATTATATAGTATTACTAACTACACTCAAAAGTTTATCACTGCCGAAATCAAAAACTTATCGAATTGGCAAATAATGATCTTTGTGAATGCTTATATGCGCATGACTTATATGCACATGACTTACTCATGTATTATCGTTATGATCCAAGACCTGTTCGATCTTTTTTGGCAAGATAATTTTAACATTCTTACCCGGGATTCACGATTTTAGCTGTAAGTCAAAAATCCGAAGTGAGCGATACCGAATTTTAGATAATTTTTAAATCTAAAAATGAAAATGGCAAATTTATGCCACCGATATCGATATAAAATTTGTAACGAGTTTTTAAAGTTTCATACTTGACAATGCTAACATCGATTAATTTGTCTTTTTATACGTAGTGGACATTAAGAACCACATAGGCTACTTTGAAAACCAGCCAATAGACCGTGCTATAGATCAGTTTATAGACCGGTCCTAGACCATGCCCCGTCCACGGTCCATTCCACGGTCCTCGGTCTTTAGGACCAAGACCGGAACGGACCGTAACATCCCTATTCGACAGTTCAGCAAAACATTCATATGGAAATATTATTTTACTGATGATCGAACCACATTAAGTTGTTCATCCCTAATTTCTATCGACCATTCGGATATTTTACCATATTAGATCTCAATTTCAGTATATCAAGTTTCCAAAAAGTTTCATGATTTTATTATTGTTTCCACTTTAAAAAATTCGTTCTATTTACATACAAGTTTTTAAAATGTATCAAGATGATTGCAGACCACTATTTTTAAGGTGTTAACAAATCTAAATAATTGCTACGTTAAATCAGATAAATGCCCTGAAAATAGTTTAATTTATCCTTTATTTAACATTGTAAATACTTGCTCAAAAGAAACAGCAATGCTTATAGGTGCTATCCGAATATGGGGACTGAATACTCGCCTTCGACTTAGTATTTTGCTTTTATTTATATTTGGATTATTAACATATCATCTTGTAAGCATTTCTAATACTGAGTATTCAGATGCTTTTGATTACCAAAATATTTGGGAATATTCAAATCAATGGTTTGGAGATATATTATTCGGTGCATCGCAAAATCTAGGCTCACAAGTGCTCTTGAATAACGTTACTCGACTTCCTAAAATACAATACAAATTTTCCGAAAGCGAAACACCCGATGAAAGATTATTAAGAGAATTCCGTCGTGACTCCATAAAGAATGGATTTCTTCACGCCTGGAAAGGATATACTAGGTATGCGTGGGGTTATGATGAATTGTTACCGGTATCAAATAAAGGCAGGAATAATTTTAACGGTTGGGGAGCGACAATTGTTGACGCATTGGACACAATGTGGATCATGGGTTTAAAAGAAGAGTTTAGTCGATCCAGAGATTTTGTTCAGTCGGTGAACTTTACACAAACTAATAATACCATAAGCGTGTTTGAGACTACAATTCGTTATCTGGGAGGATTATTAAGTGCATATGAATTATCAAAAGATGATATATTTTTAGAGAAAGCACTGGAATTGGGAAATGCATTATTGCCTTCTTTTGATAGTCCTACCGGATTACCATATAACGATTGGAAACTTACAAGGTTTGCTCGTTAGAAATAATGGATGTTTCTTATATTTTATTGCCATTTACGAATAGCCTGTATGTTCTGTATGTTTCAGGGGCGAGGCTGTTAGTCATCATACAGCATTACTGGCCCAAGTCGGAACCTTACAATTGGAATTTATGAAATTGTCACAACTAACGGATGATAGCAAATTTTTCTTCAAGGTAAACTGTTATCTTAGTTCTAACTTCATAATAATATTGATGGATTTATTAACATAGTTGTATTATGACTTTATGAAATTGATAAAAGGTCCAAAACATAATAGATGTTCTTGATAACGCAACAAAAGAGGTTTCTGGATTATATCCCATAATAATTGGTCATGGTATGTTGTTATTCAATATTGTAAAATTTTTAATAGTCTTATTTATTTCATGTTTTTGTTAATCAAATAAAAAGACACTGGCCAATTCATAAATGGTAAGTCTTTGAAGAATTCAAATTTGCACTAGCCTTATTATGTATTTTTTAATATATATTAATTTTTATTTTTTTAAACTAGATTACATATCGTTTGGGGCTAATGGTGACAGTTTTTATGAGGTATATTCGTTATGCTTTTGATTGCATTTGAAATTATTTATTTAAATTTGCCTAATTTATATTGCTTTAGTATTTACTTAAAGAATATATATTTGTTGGAGGTGCAATTGATCAGTACCGGAGGATGTGTATGTTTTACATATAATGAAAATCATTTTGATAATAAATCACTATACTTATCTAACGGATAAGCTAATATACCCAGACGTCGAATCCATCGATAGTATGCACAAATACCTTATTAAAGATGGTATCATTAAAGATCGTCCAGACTTGCTGTTCCTTGGTGATTTCTCTTTGGACAATTTTATAGGTGTAATGGATCACTTGGTAGTTACAGTTTTTCATTTAATGATAAACTATATAAGAGTGACGAAAGGGAAAACCTGTAAATCATTTCACTCAATAAGTGAAATGATTTACAGGTTTTCCCTTTTCGTCACTCATATATTTTAAAGTAATACATTTATTTATAATCCGTTTAAATAATAAACTAGGCATGCTTTGTGCCTGGAATGCTTGCCATGGGATCGAAAGTTTTAGATCGACCTAATGACCTTGAAACCGCTATAAGATTAGCAGAAACATGTTACTGGTCTTATAATATGACATATACTGGGATTGGTCCAGAAAAGATCTGGTATACTACATCTAATGTATCATCAATTAGTAGATGGTCCCAAATTCAAAGTGGTAAACTCCCAACAGAATTGGTTAAAATAGATGCCAACTATTTATTAAGGCCAGGTAAAAATGTCTATTTTTCACTGATTATTGTTATTTGTTAAGCGTTACTGCATTATTAAGCTACATTTATAATCATTTGACCGTTATAAAATTATAGAAACTGTCGAAAGCTTATTCATTTTATATAGAATAACAGGTGATAAAAAATATCAAGATAAGGCGTGGGAAATATGGCAGGTAATAACACATTATTAAATAATAGATAATGAACTAGGTGCTATAAAAGGAACGAAATTGACAATTTTTTCAAAAGAAATTTTTCGCATAAATTAATTTAAAATAAGATTAGAATCATTTTTAACTTGAGACACAAAAGTAGTTGTGTTAATAAATTTTTGCATTTTCTTATGATTTATTATAAAATTTGTAATATAAAAATTGATTATCCGAAGAACTTTTTTTTTGTCAATTTCGTTCCTTTTTATAGCTCTAACCCATATATTTGTTTAATATTTTCTTGATTACCATGGCTCATTTTAATCATTCATACTTGTTATCGTTATAGGCTATTGAAAAATGGTGTAAAACACCTGTGGCCTATTCAGGTCTATATAATGTGAACAATGATGAAGTAACGTTGAATAACAATATGGAAAGGTAACTTGTTGTCGCGCTCTAGTTTAAGTAGTAGACTTAAATACTAATATTTGATTATTTTTATTGAAAAGTTTCTTTCTAGCGGAAACACTAAAATATCTATATTTAATATTCAGTCCACCACACGTAATATCTTTAGATACTTACGTGTTTAATACTGAAGCACACCCTTTACTTAGAATGAGAAGGTCTTAAAAATAAAATTTATGTTTTTAACTGCACATATCATATTAATTTTAAATCGACGAATATTTAAGGTCATACCGAGTTAATTTCTTGGTTTTCATAAAATTTAAACAAACTCGGATCCATCTAGTCATTGGAGCATGTTTTATTAAATTTAAATAAATAATCGAATTCTTGAATATTTGATTAATCGGTAGCTCTTAACGTTACGGCTGTTTTCATAACTCTTGAAACACCTGATAAAAATTTGCCGAATGATTTTCGGCTGATCCAGAAATAAGTTATTGAAAAATTACAATTTACGGTGCATATTGTTATCCGGCTAAGTCACGTGACACGGCTAACCAAATAAGGGTCGGGAAGTCTACGGACAGTACTTAGGGACAGTGCAAAATCACGTGTTTAAGTTGTGATTGGCTATTTAGCGGGATTTCATATTACATCATGTGATCGCACTGTCCCTAAGCACTGTCCGTAGATTCTGCGAATAAGGGTGACCCGGCTAGAAAAATCAGAATCGTCAGAAAGGACCGAAATGTAGGAAAAGTCCTTTCCGACGAAGAGGGCGAAGTAAGTAACGTAGTCGGTAATGGAGGGAACACTAACGTAGTCGTAATCATTATAGTCTTAGATAACGTTAATATAGACCAAGAAAATGTATATTCTTATAAATAAAACCCGTAAAGGCCCTAAGGAGAGGAGGAGATACTTTGCTTTATTAAAAATAATAATTGATCCCTTACATCATAATAAATATATAAACGTCTCCTTTGCTACATTAACTAATCGCCAAGTCCCCATACCATAAAAACCCGCTTCTTGAATTTATCTGTTCTAACCCATAGTATTGTTAAACCCCCATCCGGCTGTTGTATCCTAAAGTACCAGGATCAGCCGTGGTCACTCGAGTCCAACTATCCGAAGAAGTGTGATAGTTGAGGTTATACGTGTAGTCCAATTACCCGAAGTAGTGAGGTAATTGAGGGTTAAAATTAGCAGACAGCTCAAGATAAGGAAAACCACAGTAGAAGTAAAGAAGAAATACTTACCTACGGACCCAAACCACCGACCAAATCAAAACGCCTCTTTTCGACTAAGCCAACCGTAGGTTACACGAAGTTTTAGATTGTGGAGCGACTGACTCGCCGTACCTCCCGACTTCAATATATAAAGAGTTCATTCTATTATAGTAAATAGAGTTCAGTATAAGAAAACATAGGAAATTACTTCTGTACAATATAAAAAGATGTACTGTATGGATATATAATATAGTACACCTAAATCGAAAAGCATAGGTGCGCTTTGTCATGTGACTGGAAGAATTCCGGACATTCAAAGGCGCCGGAAATAAATTCAATTAAAGGACTTTAAGTCCGCAGAATACATTGAATTGGTAATTTTAAGTAAATAGTGATTTTATGTAATTTGAACTGAAACGATGATATGCTCCCAGAGATTAGCAAATGAGATTGCGCCAGGTACATATCATCGTAACAGTAGAGCGAGCGAGAAGCAGCATCAGTAGCTGATATAGTTTTGATTTACTTAGTTAAGTTATAAGATTAACGTTTATATAGTAGCCCAAAATATAGACTATAAAACCGTCTTTTACGCATTATAGAAGATCTCTGTGAAATAATATTTTTGAACCTAACCAAATGGCAAAATCCTTTGATGCACAAAATTTTTACTAGAAATATTTTGTGTGGTAATTCTAAATATTTCAAAAATTACAAGCACGAATGTAGTTGGCATATAATCGTTATACCAATGCTATAAAAAGGTTGAACTAGGATTGTCAAAACTTACATGACAACATACTTTACATGTTAAGTTATAATAAGTTATGCTGTAACTTACACGGCCTTTATGTATATAATTAAAATATAGATATTAAAGCTTGCAGAATAATGTGACAACTTCTACCAGCATTAAAATATAATTTATTTCCAAGTAATTTACGTAAGTTACAATTAAGGTTGTTAAATTACAGTAATTATACGTAATTTTACGAAAGGTTGTGTAAGATTCTGTAAATTGAAATATCGAACACATGATATTTAGTTTCTGAGATCAAATTTTCGGCGATTTAGGTTTTACATTTCGAATCGTACATTCAATTCAATCGATGCAATAATGCTGGCCGAAATTTTGCAAATCTGGTACTTTATGTATGCCGTGTGAAAGTTAACATGAAAATTGATTTTCCGTAACTTACGTAACGCAACCCTAGTTACAATAGATTTACATCAGTAAAATACATGTAAGTTAACAACCCTAGTTTGAACGGTATAATCAATATCTTTACTAAATTCGGTGCTGTTGATTTTTGATGATGATTTTTGAAAATGGGATAGTTTAGCCTGCATTATTCATCTGATCTACCCAGAATTGGCCAGTGTTAGAGTATAATATAGGTTGGCACCCAGAAATTGTGTAAATAATCGTACTTTAAAAATTACTATTACAGAATTTTATTATTTATATATCTTATATAATTAGTAAATATAATTAAAACAATATAATAAATTTAAATAAATATATATATTTCTATATATATTTTTTAACTAATAAATATTACAAATACCACATATGTTACGAGTGCATCATATGCTTTAAAAAAAACCACAAAAAAAATATGTTGTATATGTACAAAAAAATTATTCTACATTAAATAAAAAATTAACTTATTCTACTTTAGTTTAATATAAAATACGTATTTAACAAAAAATAAAATTAATCAAAAAAGGAAAAAGAATATTTATAAGAAAGAATAGTACCTTGGACCCATTATAATGTCCGCAATACACTAATGATTTTATAGTAATCATTTTCTAAGCAACCATGTTTTCTTAATTCTAACTCATCTGCCGGTTTAAAATTATACACATCTGCCAGATCCTCATGTAACATTTCAAAAAACCAACACATCATTTCATTAAAATCAGTTATGTAATGGGTTCCAAATTTCCAATCTGTGAAGTCAGTAGACTTAGCATTACCCCATGTTTTTTTAATTGATTTATAATGCATCGGTGTACTATCCGGACGATTATGGCATGCCATTACAACTAATTTACCCGTGCTCATATATCGTGTCCCATCAAGACCTCCAGATTGATGGCTAGAATGATGTATTTTTGTTTCATCACTGTTTTTATCATGACCTCTTTCTCCCCAACACAAAGCACCGCACCAGAAACATGGCTCTGTGCATCCAAGCCTTTTCTTAATCAGTTCATCATCAGATAGAATTGGTAGTAAGTCCTCTTCTAGTTGATAATGATTATTCCTTTTAGCATTGAGTTCTTTCATGATAGCTTCACGAAATAAGTCAAACTTTTCAACAATTGAATTATCTTTAATGTTTAATTGATAGTCAATATCATCAACTTGTGTCATATAATTATTTACAAACTTTTTGATATCATCATAGCTTTTAAAATTACAAATTTCCTGATAAACATGATCAAATTCTGTATTAAAAGTTTCTTTATATTTTCGTCCTTTCTCTTTTCTTCTATAATTATTAACACAAATATTAAACCATTCTTCAATTCTTTCTCGAGGTTTTAAAAAGTGCTGTACAGCATTATGTTTGTCACCGTTATGAACTTGTTCAGCAAGTTCAATAAAATATTTAAGTCTAATCGTTTCAGAATTTTTCATCCAAGGAATGCTAAGCACATCATCTCTTCGATCCCGATTTTCTGCATCTATTGCTTTTTTATGAATAGCTCTCAATAAATAAGCCCCAGTCAAATGACCTTTATACATATTTGAATGACCATATTGAAGACGAAGTCTAATTATTTCTATATATTCATCTTTCTTTTGATCAAGCACGCCAAGTGGTGTATTATCTTTATCCCATTTGTCTTGTATTTCTACCATTTTTTCTCTAAAATTTAATAACATGTATACGTGAACATTCTTTTCAAAATTAGGATTAAATTTTACATTAAGTTCAGTTGAAAAATCATTCAATTTTTTTTCTGTTTTGTTTTTAAGATCACGTACAATTCTAGGATTAAACCTTGTAATATTATTTAACATTTGTTCTACTACAAGATTAATGTCCTTTTTAAGTCTTGAAATATTATTTTGTTCCATACGTTTATCACGTATTACATCAATGTTTGATAATTCTGGAATAACCCTATACTTATAATTTTTAAAAAAGTTAGATGTCCACGTAGTTCCATATTCTTCATTTACAATATTATCTATCTCTTCATTTATAAAATCTTCATTTTCTGCTGATACTCTATCACGTAATTGTTTCCATATTTTATTTGCTTCTTCATCAAGTTTCTTCTCATCAGGTAATTTTTTCCATGTACTAAATACCTTTTCTAGATTTCTTTCAATAAATGTAGAAAACCTATTTCGCATTAAAATACCCTCAAGCATATTTTCAAGCTTTGTGGATATAAATTCACGACGAGAAATAATATAATTAATGATTGTTTGATTTGCCTCTTCTTTACATTTCTCATTATTCTTTTTTTCAAGATATTTATTTAATTTATCTCTTTCTTTATTTACTTTTTTACACTCATCACAATCTACTTGACTTTTAACCTCCGGAATTTCATTCAACTTTTTAATCAATTTTTCACATCTTGAATTCACATTTGTATCTTTATTTGAAAACCATTTATAAACAATAGATCGAACTTTATTTTCTATTAATTCCTTATGTTTTAAAAATGCCATATCAATAGTTCCTTTTAATTTTGCAATTTGTTTTCCAAGTTCAACAAAATCATATGTTTCTTCAATTTCTTCTAATGAAGAACTTTTACGTGATACTGCACCCCAATAACTATTAACTAATAAGAACCAATCTGAAAATGTTTTTTTACTTTGTGAATTTTTACAATTATCAATTATAGAATTGTATAAATTAGCAACATCCTTATGATATTGTTTTGATGGTGGAGAATAAATTGTTGTACTACTTTTAAATGGTGAAAATAATTTGAGAAGTTTCTTATCCTTCACCTTATTAAGACGTTCAAAATTACGTGCTTCTATCTTATTATTATCTTTTTTGGACATTTCTAAAACTCCTTGAAGAATTTCATAAAAATTTTGTTCTAAATCTATTAAATTTGTTGAATTATTTTCTATAACATGTTGTACCATAAATATATCAGGGGACATGTCTAGATGTATTATTATTTCAGTGACTATTTGTAAGATTTTTCTTGTTGATTCTTCAAGTATATTAATAATTGCTAAATTGCTTACTCGTAATGCAAAAGTTGCTAACATTTGAACTTTCTTTTCTAATTCTGAATTACCCATTTTTTCTGGTGCACCAAGTCCTTCCGTATCAATCAAGATAAAAGCATCAAAACCAAGTTGATTAGATAATTCTTTTTCCAAAAATAAGAATTGCATAAAAATCCCTTTAGTACAACGTTCATTTGAAACAGTAAATTTACTTGAAAAAAGTGCATTTAGGAGAGTAGACTTTCCAGAAGATTGTAATCCAATTATACTAATTACAAAAATCCTAAGATTAGGAAATTTTTTATCAATACAATTACAAACAGCTAAGAACCAAGCTTCAGATATAGTTGCAGAATCACCATCAATCAATTCTATAGTTTGACCACTAATTAATAACTCTGCATAATATTCTGGTAATTTCGAAATATTTTCTTTAGCTGGACCATTATCGGAAGTAATTTTTTTTGGATCAGAAATAAATATTTTATACATTTGTCCTAATTCACGAATGAAATGTTCTATTCTCAAACTTGTATTATCTACTTCTTCCCAAATTTCTGTAATTTCTTCACGAATCTTATTTATTGTTTCTTCATCATTATATAAAATGTTCTCATAATTTAATTCTTTCCTTTTTGAAACAGCTTCATTTCGAAGTTTAGATGATTCTACTGTAGAAAGTCTATATATTTCTTTTTCAAGATGCGCTAAAGCTCTTCTTCTTATTCTAATTGGTAGAACCATAATGGAACTGAATAATTGCATTAATTCTTGTAACTCTGGTGCACGTTCCCAAAATTGTATACAATCAGATCCACCTTGTTTTTTTTGAAGTTGCATAATTTCTAATCTAGTACGACGACAAGTTTTTTCCTTAATAAATTTTATAATTTCCTGAGATTCAATGCACTCTATATTTTCAGCAAGTTGAAGTGTTTCCCCAACTTTTAACGTACCAATTGAAAATTCACCAAGATCAGTAAAATCAATATGATCAAGATATAAGACATCTTTAAACATTTTACAAGCATCTTCTACTGTTTCATTACTCATTAAAGAATTTGTATCAATTGTGTAATCATCTACACTGTTCTCGGAATTAACATGGATGTATATAGCCTTTTTTGAACCAATTAAGTTCCTAAACTCAACCTTTTGATCTTCATTATGTCCAGGCATTAAGAAAACCAAGAAACAAGAAGGTAATTGCTTTAGAAATTCAATTTGATCAGGATAATCTAAAGCATCACCATGTAAATTTGCAAGCAATACAATCTCATTTCTTCCTTCTTCATAATAACTTTTAAAAACATTATTCCATAGATCGGGACCACAAGTCTTTTCTGTCAACCAAACAAACTCAACACTTCCATTAATCATATGTGGACTTCCATAATCGGCCCTTGGCTCAGAAGATGATGTGAACATATAATTTGAAGTCATCAATCGATTAAGTATGGTACTTTTTCCTTGAGGATTCTTTCCAATACGAACTGCAACAATCATTTCAAAAGAATCTTCAAAAAGATGATTTTCTATAATCGATTCATTGCTTATACACCATTTAATAGTTGGTCCAGTATATAAAGGAAGCATTACTTTAAACTTCTCTGCTTCATCTAAGACGGGTATCAATAAAGGAATTGCAATTGGAAATTGAGATATAATTTGAAAAATATTTTGAACAACAGTAGAATCAGCAGAGGCAAATAAAGTAGCAAGACAATCAAATCTAGATAATCTATTCATTTTTATTAATTTTTTGCTTTCATTCTTTGATTCATCATCAGAAGATTCATCATCTTCATCATTGATTAAATTTGCAAAGTTTTCTGCTTTAAGAATATCAACACCCAACATTTTAACTTTCTGTCTAATATATGGAAGAACTGCTGCCACATTTCCATAAATCTTACTAGACGAAAATTTTGGTTGAGGGATAAGTTTACTAAGCATAAAATAATGTTTGGGTTCGATTAATGGTAATTTTTCACCCAAAATTGAGTACCATTTTTTATCAATTTTCAAAACCTTATTGTTTTTTGAAGAAAGAGGTGGAATTTGAGACGGAATGGGAGGTTGGAATGTTGAGGTCAATATCTTGTGTGCTTGATGATTTCCACCATATCCAGATTTCTGAAGCCATTCGAATGCTTTTTTCCTGTCTTTTTTGACACCAATTCCGTCTAGATAATAAATACCAAGTTGATATTGTACATTTGTATTTCCATCTCTAGCAGATTTTCTGTACCACTGAAATGCTTTTGCATCATCCTTTCTAACCCCAATTCCGTTTTGGTAACATAATCCAAGATTATATTGTCCATTTGTACTTCCACCTTGCGCGGATTTTTTGTACCATTGAAATGCTTTCGTATCATCTTGTTCGACTCCAATTCCTTTTTGATAACAAACTCCAAGATTACATTGTCCATTTATATCACCACCTTGTGCAGATTTTTCGAACCACCGAAATGCTTTAGCATCATCTTTTTCGACACCAATTCCGTTCTGATAACAAATTCCAAGATTATTTTGTCCTAAAGTATTTCCATCTTGTGCAGATTTCTCAGCCCAATAAAAAGCTTTTTCATTATTTTTATCAACACCGAATCCATATAAAAAACACAAAGTAACTAATCCTTGTCCTAATTGGTTTCCATTATTAGCAGATTCAAGAAGGAATTGGAATGTATCTTCGTTTATATCACATACTCCTTTCTGAAACTGATTTCTTAAAATAACTTGAGCTAAACGATTCCCATCTTCAGCAGATTTCATATACCATTGTAATGATTCTGATTGATTTTTTTGAGTACCGATTCCATTGTTATAACAATGTGCAAGATTACATTGTCCCAAATGGTTTCCACCTTCGGCAGATTTTTTAAACCATTCAAATGCCTTCTGTAGGTCTTTCTCGGTTCCTATTCCATCCTTATAGCATATTCCAAGATTATTTTGATCCCAATGATTTCCATTTTCAGCGAATTTCAAGTGTAGAGAAAATTTTGAATTCTGAAAAAAAATTGGTTACAAATGCCATTATAAAAAATTGTCAAAATGATAATATTTAAAGCATAACAGAATAAATAATACATACTTTTTCTATCATTTGTTTATAAATAAATAAAAAAAAAATAAAGAATTAAGTATAAATGTGTAAATTTATAAACATAAATCAGATGATTAATATACATACGAATTGAAATTTCTTCATTCTCCCATATTACTACCCGGTTGCTACCATATTGTTTGGCTTTCCTACAAGCTTCTTCGGTATGATTTAATATGTCTTTAAAACTTTCTACTAAGGAGTTTACGCCAGTAACACCTATGCTAAGTGTAATCGGTGGTAGTTTTTTTTCTTTGAAAATAAATGAATAAGACTCAACAAAAGAACGAATTTCTTTAGCAATTTCATAGGCTAACTTTAAATTTGTATCAATAAATAGAATTATAAATTCTTCTCCACCATATCTAGCAAAAATATGTTTATCACGAACATATTTATTTTGAATTAACTTTGATAACTCTATTAATACATAATCTCCAGCCTCACAGCCGTATTGTTCATTGATTTCTTTAAAGCAATCCAAATTATAATATAATAAACACAAATTTTGACTATTTTTAAATTCATTTTCCAAGCTTTTCCGCAAGTAAGCGGCGTTGTAAATCATTAGAAGAGGGTCAATATAAGTTTTATATTCTCCAGCGGGAATGTATTGAAAAGTACTACGTCCAATTTTAATTACGTCATTTCTTTTTAAAGTATATAAAGTACGAAATTTAAGTTGTTTGCCATTAACAAAGATTTCTGATTTAGAACCTATACCGATGATATCAACTTTTCCTTTGTAACTTTTAATCTTTGCATGTTTCTTATCAATTTTTTGATCATTTATAACGATGTGATTTGTATCTTTCCTTCCTAAAATTATTTCACCTTCAGTGAGGAAAAGGTGTTGATTTCGAGGTGAGCCTTCAAGAATTTTTAAGCAAGCTTCCTCTTTCGTTGTAAAATTATTTTTTTTAAAAGAGATTTTAATTTCAGATATAATTTCGTCCATGTTTTCGAGAGAGAATCTGCATGTATATGCAATATTATTTGAAGTATGCAAAGTGTAATTAATTTTAAATTTTCGATCACTTTATATAGAATCCACACTTGTGTATTTTTATTGTTATTTTACGCGCCATTTTAAGATTGTCTGACATAGAAAAGAATTTGTGTGATTAGATAATTTCATTAATCTTTAACATATGCATTATTTTAGGCGTTATTTTAAAGCAATTAAAGCAATGTATGAATGATATGTACTCTTAATTTGTACAATTTTTCAAAATAAAATTCCTTAAAAACGTATCACATTTCTTATTTTCACATGAATAGTTGCTATTAAATACGATACAGAATTTCAGATAACCTAATAGGGGAAAAATGCGTATAAATAGTGAAATCAAATATTTTTCTTTATTTTATTGAAGTCGATATATAATTGATAACTTTAATTAATATTCGATATTAATAGTATTATACGTTACGTTACATTACGCAAAAACTTAAAAACGACAATTTCTATAGCGATAGAGTTAGTGTAATGTATGATGAATATGTAGTACGTATGTAGCACATCAATAAGAAATTTACCTACACCCTTTGTTGATATTATATTTTGGGAAATATTTGATTACAATGTTTATATATTGGTTTTCTAGAAGGTATAATTGTGGCCTTTAGATTCTTACGTCGTGCATAATGTTCTTAGCCTATCATATACAAATTACTTTTATATAAGGGATAAAGTTCTGTAGGCGTTATGAATGGCCAAAGAGGAAGGAAACAAAGATCCAGAGGTGAATAAGCAAACTACCGTATATTTTCACTAGCATTTTTTTGGACTTGTAATACATATGAATATTGTCAACAAACTCCCTTAAACTCCATATCGATATATATTAAATATAAAATGAATAAATTAAAAAGTATATCGGAACTAAGTTTGGCATTAAGTAAAGTTGTTCATCAGATTAAGACAATTTTCTCGGTGGTGAAAGCGGACCAATAGATCTCTCAGAATTGCTCTTCAAAGGTTGAAAACGATTGTTATACAACTTACAAAATCGTATCATAATCATTTTCAAACTTTGATGAGCATTCTGAGAGTTCTGCCTAACCTTTACCATTATTAGAATCGTCTCGACATTAAGAACAAATTTTACTTATAGTTAAAAAGTAGGTTTGCTTAATACCAAACCTACTTCCGTTTTTTTTGTTACGTATTACTAAAAAGTATATTTATTTGTACCGAGATGCATGCTAAAATATGTAAACAAATAAACATTTCTACTAAATGCTTTTTTAAATAAACTACCTCCTTATTGAATACAAATTTCTTAAAAAAATCAAAACCCCATAATAAACTAATTATATTTTTTTGCGTTATAAATTACTCTAAAAGAGGCAACTTATTTATTGACATCACTGATTTGTATACATACAGTAGTTATTAAACTTTCGTGTAACCAAAATATACGTACTTTCGAAGGTAACTGTAGCTTATTTTTGGGGATTGAATTTTTTTAAGAAATTTGTACTCAAAAAGGAGCAGCTTATTTCGGATTTAAATTTCCAAAAAAAACATTATTATTACTCGATCAGATACACAAAAAAACAATGAGAAATCAGCTCACTATCATTACATAACACTTTAAACGTCTACGATCCTAAGGAAATATTTACATCTCAAACTAACCAACCACTTATAGAATTATGACTACTAAGAAAGCACAACCTAATTCAAACTAATACATTAAATCTCACATAGAAGAACGCAGCCAAGGAGGAATCACATAGCAATAACGAGAACGGTTATACAGTATTATGTAGTTATATTTATTTATACTGTAGGTCCTACGGCAATCATGGAACCTGATCACCAAAACAAGAGGTTCTTGCACTGTCAACAGCAGCTGAACAGGAGGGAACGTACCCGATCCAAAGTGAATCCCACACACGGTGTGATCAATTAAAACTAAAATTATTTGTTTTAGTTTTAATTGAACACACCGTGTGTGGGATTCGCTTTGGATCGGGTACGTTCCCTCCTGTTCAGCTGCTGCGGAACCTACTGTTGGGTTCGGAAGATTGCGACTCTGTCGCTCCAAAATTCTAAACCTCGTGTAACGTACGACAAGTAACCTTTTCG